CGAATCGAGCCACACCACACTTGCCCCTCTGTGCTCCTCTCCTCGAGTTCTTCCCCTTGTTCAGGCTGCCCCTGGCATTGCAATACTTGGCCCTTTGTTCTTCTGGAACACTTCAGGCTGTTTTTTTAAGTTATTATTCAAAGGGGCTTTGCTATCTCTTGCCCTCTTCTTGGGGTGCTCATCCCCTAGACCTCCAGAAAGTATTCCTTTTCACCCAGTTCCCCTTTCAATAACCACCTCCTCTGCAAGGACTCTGTCTCCCCAACACACTCTCTAAAATAGCACCTCACTCTACATTACCTGGAGGTATTTATTTCTTTACATGTTTAATTCTCATTTTCCCCACTGAAATGTAATTTGCAAGATGACAGAGCCTTTGTCTTGTTTGTTACTATATACTTCATGCTTAGAATAGTGCCTAGTCCATAGACCATAATACACACAATAAATATGTGTAAAAGTATGGCGGGAAGGAGGAAGGGATAAGGAAAGTAGGGAAAAGGGAAGGAAGAAATGAAGGGAGAGAAGGAAGAATCCGGGAGGGAGGGAAAGTGGGAGGAAGATAAGAAGGATTTGAAATCCCACCACTCAGTTTAGAGCTGCAGAGAAAATTATGGGCACTGGAGGTTATTCATGTGAGCCAAGAGCACCATCCCTGGTTCCCCTCCTCATTGTGATGTAAAGCACTTCGCGCTCTTTACATGAAAGACTTAAATTCATGCACCATTATTCTATTTGCTGCAATGCAAATACATTTCAAATATTGTGAGGAGTAAAGAAAAGCACAGAAATATATGACGGATATAAAAAGACGAAAAGAAGGGACACATAGAGGGGAGTGACCTGAATATTAACGGCTAAAATTTCAGTACAAAAGATCAACTGCGTATTCAAGTGGAGAGAAGCAAATGAATGGATGTGAAGAATGATGAGTCTGAAAGAGCCTGGATCATTTAAACCAAATGTTGTGAATTTTAGATGGAATAAATTCTATATAGGCTTTAACAAGGGCTGAGCTATGCTACCGGGAGCATGCAGCAAGGTTGTCTGCAGAGGTGAGCCCAGGGTCTATTTCTGTCTCGTTTGAACAATCTTATTAAACATACACTACTGTTAACACATGGACATGTTCCTTAAAGCGGGAATCATTCCCTTGATAACAAAGTGGGAAGACTCAGTTGGGAAAGGCATTAAAACTATGGCTCACTTTCACGATGACTCTAATCCCAAAGTAAGTGTCCATGTGCCACTAGAAAGCAGACAGATGATTATTATAGTGCTCTACCTGATGCAAAGCTTGCCAATGTCAGTCTAACTGCCTGTGGAAAAAAACGCACTTTATTTTGAGGGGCTGAATGATCTGAATATAAATAAGTGACTCTTTCTGCCTGTCAGTTACCTCAAGAATATTTAGTATTGTCTCTTTTAATGACTGCTCATTACAGATGAGTGTGAGTGAGCGGATTTAATCAGGGTAATATGGGCTAATCATCATGTGCATTTCTCCACATCGGGACTTGTTCCATCTGTTCCAAGCCATTTGTCCATGTAAAACTGTCACCATTCTGAGCCCATGACTGACAGATGAGGCCAGACATATACGTTTTTCATCTCAGAGCCAGAAATTCTCTGATGTGTCCTTCTCACTTAAACCAATTGCTTAAGAGACGCAAAGGACTTCTATATTTAGGACCATTTTTCTCTGTTTGGTTTGTTGCATTGCTCATTAAACTATTTAGCTCACTCTCGCTCAGCACAGCATGACGGAGGCTCGTGGTTATTTTGATTGATGTGGTAGAATCTAAGGGGAAGGCTGGATAACATGAGTCCGGAGGTTTTTATATCAGCACTGAAATGCAGCCACTCCTGGGGTCTGAATGGGACATTAGTTTAGCAACCACACAAGGGCCCTGCTGCTGTGGACAGACGTCTCTTATCCTGCCACCCTTCGGTGTAGGAAAGATAAGTCTCCAGCGAGTTGGTGGCACTTGTCCAAGAATGATATGCCTTCAGCAGCTTCGTGTGTGCTCACTGAAGGGATTAGTGATGGAAATTAGCTAATGAAAAAATGTAGCTTCAGCCTCATGAGTTTTTACTTCTTACTTTGTGGGATTTCTGCATCAGAAGAGCTGTTCTTCGTGAAACAAAGTTTTCTATGAAGAATTGCCTCTACTCCCCAACATAGTTCTAACAACATTTATAATAGAATATTTGAGAACCAAATATCTCTTCACGGTGCTTGAAGCCAACAGGCAAACAGCATGTTAATAAATAGAATTGGACATAGTTATTTCCTTTAAGTCTTTGGTATGTATTGTCTATGCTAGTTTGCTGTCAGTACAGAAAGACTACATTACTATTCTAGCCTCAAAATAGATTTTTTTCTCGCTTTTCTGCCTTAGTTTTACCATTACTTCTTTTAGGTTTTGGTTTTTTTACTTCTCACCTGAGGATATTTTCCCATTTTATTTTCAAATAGAATGGGAGGGAAGGAGTGAGGGAGAGAGAGAGAGAGAAACACTGATGTGAAAGAGACATATTGATTGGTTGCCTCCTACAAGACCCTGACCAGGGCCAGGGACAAACTGCAACCAAGGTACATGCCCTTGGCTGGAATTGAACCTGTGACTCTTTGGTCCATGGGCCAACACTCTAACCACTGAGACAAATCGGCCAGGACAGAGTTACTTTTTTTTTGTAATATTGAAATGCCCTGACCATGCTGAAACACTTGGAATGGAAAGCAACATTGGAGCAACAGGTAAGAGCTAGATGCTGGTCTTATGATGTAATGTCTCTAGGAACAGAGTGTTAGAAAGCCAAAGCTCTCATTCAAAGTGCATCTTTAATATTTATTTCTCTCTTCCTTTGTTGTGAAAACCCTTATTTAATTGAGTTTGGGTTTACCTAACAAATGCACCATAAGCCAAACACCAAAAGAATGAATGGCCCTGGCCGATTTGGCTCAGCGGTTAGAGCGTCGGCCTGCAGTACAGAAAGACCCGGGTTCGGTTCCCGCTAAGGGCACGTACCTCAGTTTGTCCCCGGCCCTGGTTGGGTGGTGTGCGTGGCAACCACTCGATGTGTCCCTTTCATGTCAACGTTTCTCTTTCTCTCTCTCTATCCCCTCCCACTCTACCTGAACAAAAAAAATGGAAAAATGTCCTTGGGTGAGGATAAAAAAAAAAAAAAAAATGAATGAATGAATGCCGGGGATGAGAGGAAAGCCCAGGTATGCCTTTACAAGGCTGAGTCTCAAAGGGCACAGGCTGGTGTCCAGCATTTGCTAGCAAAGTGAGAGGCACCGTCCTGGCTTTGTTATTTCATAGGTGAATGCCCTTCCGTTTTTGCTTTTCCAGCCTTCAACATCTAAAAGTGTAAAGTTTTTCAAATACTGTTTTCTCTCCACCTGAGGGGAAAGAACAAAGTTTATCCTGATTGTCATGCTTGACTCTGGATCTGTTTTGGGAGAATCCACTCACGAGCCACCGCCCTGAGAGCCGCCTTGAAGACGTGCCTGTGTGCTTCCTTCATTGCATCAAAGTTGTGACAAGAACAAAGTGCAGTCCTGCATTGCACAGCCATCCCATATTTGGAGAATAATGACAAAGTAACTCACCACTAATATTTCCATATGGTTTTCCTTCCAGTTTCCTAAACATGAAGATTCATCTTCATATCCTTTATGACACCTCTGGACAAGGTAACACATATCCATGAGGACATTTGCCTCACTAGGAGATCTGCTGGGAAAGTCATGATCTAGTGCTTAGTGGGAAAAGCTTCAATTCCCCTGACATTTAATAAATTCTTCCCCACTTCGTGCTCTGGTGGCGAATTGTCCAAATAACAATTTAGTTTGATGTCACACTAGACGCGTGGCTTGTTCAGCATTTAGTCTCTGAGTGCCTGGAGGGTAGATGCTCTGTTCTAGTCGCTGCTCCTCCCCCAGGGTTTCAGACAGTGGTGCTTAAACAGGGCTGATTTTGCCACTCAAGAAACATTTGGCAATGTCTGGAAACATGTTTGGTTGTCACACCTGGGAAGGGGGGTGTTCTATGGGCATCTAGTAAGTAGATGTCAGGGATGCTACATTGCACAGGACAGCTCCCTTCCCACCCGAACAAAAAATTATTCAACCCAGCCCGGCTGCTGTGGCTCACTGGACTGAGTGTCATCCCATGGACTGAGAGATGCCGGTTTGATTCCTGGACAGGGCACATGCCTGGCTTTCGGGCTTGATCACCATTAGGGGATGTGCGGGAGGCAGCCGATTGAAGTTTCTCACATCGATGAAAAGATGTTAACTCCTGTATTATTCTGCAAATAATTGCTGGTGTGAAGGTGCCGAGTGATTCTCTTTGCTGCAAGTTACCTTCCTTTAGGCCTTTGACCTATTGAGTGCACATATTTGTGATGCTTTTCGCTTGTCACATATTTTGTATTATATAACTATTTTAAATTTTAAATGGTTTTGAATTGCTCAATCGCTGCATTTTAGAGAACTTCTGCTTAGAAACCTTACATTGCTGCATATATGGCATCATAATAGAAGAGATGACAATATTTAAAAAAATACATCATTTTAAAGAATGCTTCACAAACATCAAGTAGAGTCTGTAGGCACCAATGAGGAGTTCAACTGATTATATCACAGAGGAGCCCTTCTCCCAGCCCCAAAGGTGTCTCATTTCCACCATTTGCTTGCGACGATGAAGTCAAAGGCTAAATAGACCTGGAAAATGCAAAAGCTGTCACAAAAAAGCAAATAGTTGCTAGAATATCTCTTTCTTATTTGACTGCCTCGAAACTAAATGGAGAAAACAGTGCTATAAACACATGTACGCTACCTTCCTACCTCACTGCCTTTCTTGTTAGACTCATGTCCCCCAAAGGGGTTCTGATTTAGTTGAAGACAAACAGAAAACTTGACTAATTCAAACTGTTCAAAAATCTATAACTACATCATTTTTTACAGTAACTTACTTTTTCTTGTCAAAATGCTACAGTCTCACATCATTACCCATCTTATTTTTTCAGTGATACAGTTTCTCATAGCGGTTTTAGCAAATGGCATCATCGTGGTTGTGAACGGCACAGAGTTGATCAAGCAGAGAAAGATGGTGCCCTTGGACCTCCTCCTGTGCTGCCTGGCAACTTCCAGGATTTGTCTCCAGATAGTCATCACGTACTCTAATCTGGCTGTTCTTTCCTTGACTGACTTACCTCTAATCCCTTGGATTTCTGTGATTTTCATGTACATACACGAATTGGAACTTTGGCTTGCTACATGGCTCAGCGTTTTCTACTGTCTCAAGATTGTCACCATCGCTCACCCACTCTTCCTTTGGTTGAAGTTGAGGATCTCCAAGTTGGTGCCATGGCTAATTTTGGGGTCGTTGTTATATATATCTTTCAATTGTGTCTTCTACCATAAATATATATGGATTATTTCACAAAAATCCTGGTTGGGGCTTTTCTCCGAAAATGCAACAACTCAAACCAAAGACTTATTTACATTACAGTTTGCCCTTCTGCTCGCTGAGCTCTTATTGCCCTTACTTATCTTCCTTATCTCTGCTCTTCTCGTGATATTTTCTCTGGGGAGGCATACCCAGCAGATGATGAGCATGACAACGGGCCCCAGGCACCCTCGCATGAATGTCTACATCAGCACACTCCTGTCCATCCTGTCCTTCCTGGTCCTCTACCTCTCCCAGTACATGATGGCTGCTTTAGTTTTCTTTGAAATTTTCAAAGTTAGAAACTTCATCTTTCTGTTCTGCCTGTTGGTGTTTGGTTCATACCCCTCTGTCCACTCTGTTATCTTAATTTTAGGAAATCCTAAACTGAGACAAAATGCAAAGAAGTTCCTCCTCCACAGTAAGTGCTGTCCATGAAAGAGAACTTTGGTCCATTCCAAGAACCTGCAGCTTGCTGAATTAACAGTTCCTGTCTTGGCAAACAAGCCTGTCATAAGTACACAAAACATCATCGAAAGACTGTCGAACCTGAAGCATTTGTGTGGATTTGCTGCTTTTTCAAAGAGTTAAATTGATTTTCAAAGCAAAACACATGTTGGTGGATTATGTCAATTTCAATATCCTTGTTGATATTATACTGATGTCCTGCAAAATGTTACCTAATTAGGGAAGACTGGGTAAGTGGTACAGGGATCTTTCTGTATTACTTCTTACAATAGCAAGTGAATCAACAATTATCTCAAAATGAAAAGTTTAAAGACAAAATATTTCTTATAACTGCAAGTGAATAAACAATGATCTCAAAATGAAAAATTTAAAGAAAAGGAAAAAACACATGTGAATTGTGATGTCAGAAGGATGCACAAATGCTGGAGGTCCCCTGTGTGTCTGATGCCTAGTCTTAGATGATTTATCCTGAACAAAAAGGCTTACTGCTCATCACTTATTTAGGTGTATATCATTTCTGTTGTTTGTTAGTTAGAGAATGGAACCATTCTTCCACATCAGGTCAGAGAAGAAACTGGGAACAAGCTGGCCTTCTATGTCCTTGTAAGTATGTTCACCTACTCCATGCTGCTGAGAGCCTAGATGCTATGGTAACATGTCCCATCAACCAATAAAGAGGCAGACAGATAGAGAAGGAAGAGGAATGCAAGACTGAGTCCTTGTTTTTCGTTTCCCCCAATTGGGCACATTGAACAGATAATAGCTTGCTAAGATGCTTCATTTTGCTCTTGTGTGCTCAGCTTTGAGACCCTTTCAACTGAGGGTGGCAATGTGGAGCTCCTACCATGCTGCATGTCTTCCCAATGAAGCAGCGTCCGTAGGTGGGTGGGCTGGGGGTGTCTCCATCTGCTTGAAGTCACAAATGCATTTTCTATTTGATGATTTTGGATGCTAAGACATATATTTCCAAAACAGCTTCAGAACCCTTTTCTTCTAGTGAAGTAAAAGATGTCCCTCAGCTTGGCAATAGATTGTCGTTCATGTATCATGATGGAAACTGTGTTTAGGTTTGGATTTGCCAATCACCAGTAACATGGATTACTAGCCCAAGACATGCAGGCCTGGTTGTACTAAACTAACAGGGGCCCTTGCCTCTGAAGATCTAGGGAAGTATTTCTCTTCTTGGGTGTGGGAATTAAGCTCTGAGGCTGATCTTCCCCATCCCACAGTTCTAATACTTCATTCCCCAAGGAGCCAGGTAACAGTCTCTACCTTTCTGCTCTTTCCTGTTCCCACGACCCACGAGGTGGGAAAGTTTATAGCTGATCCTGCACTCGAGCAGCCGGCTCCGGCAAGAGCAGTTGGGTCCTAGAGGTGATTACTACCCCCGCTTTGAGAAGGGACAATGAGGAATCACACTTATTTTTTGCTCTTCTGAAGTTAACGTGCCTGCTCCTTGTGTCATGGTGTGTCGACCTGCTGGTGGAGAGAGAGAGAGAAGAAGCAATTTCAAAAACTTCAGGAAGAAATGTATACAACTTTCATGTGAGTTTTTCCTCAGATACTAAATTCTGATTCAATTTCACGCAACTCCTGCTTCAATAATGCTAGTTAATGAAATAAATATTAAGGTATGACTGTCCGTATACTTAAAAGTTACCAGGAGTTACAAAAAAAAAAAAGAGAGAGAGAGAGAGAATTCATGCTAAAGAACCTATTTTGAAAACATTTTCATAGTCTACTTTCCTAGAAATATATTTCTTCCAGAAATGTTGCCTGGCTGTCGTGTTGATGGATATTGCTAGGACACTAATTGCTCTCTTGTAGAAGCAAAACAGACTCAGTCTTCGGACTGTCTGGAGCCACCCTTATCTGGACTCCTTAGCCTTGGCAAAGAGTTTTGGCCCTGTCCCTCCAGGTGGGGTAAGGCTCTGTAGTGGTGCAGCATCTCCCTCTACTCCCATCCCCTGCATTTTTAGAGATGGACTGAACACTGGTTGCTGGGTGTCCTGGCTGTGGGGCCACATGCCCATGGGTCAGGCCAGAGGACTGCTGACTGCAGGACGTGATGCTGTTCACATGCCCACCACGTCCTGTGCTGCCTCAGGAGATCCGTCACCCCTGGTCAGTCGGCAGCAAAGGAGGATGGGCTACAAGCAGGCTCCTACTGGAAAGGAAGCCAGCACAGTGTCCGTCCCATGCCAGAGGACTCGTGTTGCCACACTAGGCCCTACTCTCCATGCTGACTCCATCACTGCCCAGACTCTAGTGATTCCCTGTGATTTACAGTGACTAAAAATGGTAACTCCAACCTGGCTGGTGCGGCTCAGTGGTTGAGCGTTGACCTATGCACCGAGAGGTCACCGGTTCGATTCCCAGCCAGGGCACATGCCCAGGTTGTGGACCCGATCCCCCCCGGGGGCGGGGGGGGGAGCAATCTCCAGTGGGAGCATGCAAGAGGCGGCCAATTGATCTCATTGATGTTTCTGTCTTTCTCTCCCTCTCACTTCCTCTCTCTCTAAAATCAATAAAAGAAAAAAAAAATTTTTAATGGTAACTCCAACTGAGAAAGCTAATCTATGTGCTTATAGAAAGAGATTTTTATAATGTGGCAACAAGTTGAGTATTAAAAAAACAGTTTTAAAAATCTTGTGAATTACTAATGCTTTTAAAATTCTCACTCATTAAAATATAATCAATGTAGCCTTGGTTAGAGCATCAACCCGCAGACCAAAGAGTCACAGGTTCAATTCCGGTCAGGGCACGTACTTCAGTTGCGGTTGGTCCCCAGCCCTGGTCAGGGTCATGCTGGAGGCAACCAGTCAATGTGTCTCTCTCACATTGATGTTTCTCTCTCTCTCTCTCTCTCTCTCTCTCTCTCTCCCCCCCCCCTTCCTCCTCCCTCCCTCCCACCCTATCTGGAGATAAATGGAAAAATATCCTCAGGTGAGGATTAAAAAAAAATAAATAAATATATATATATATAATACATGCTTGATCATAGAATAATCTGGACCCAAAAGTGGTAGGAAAACATTAGTGTTTAATGTCTATTGGTGTTCTTCAGGCTGACACCATCCATTCTAGATACTTCAGAATGCTCAATATTATGCCTTTTGTATGCTTTTTTTTTATTCTCACCCGAGGACATATTTTTGCATTTGTCTTCAGATAAACTGGGAAGGAGAGAGGAAGGGAGAGAGAGAGAAACATCGATGTGAGAGAGACACACTGAGTGGTTGCCACCCACATGACCCCAACAGGGCTGGGGACAAACTGCAACCGAGGTACATGCCCTTAGCAGGAACTGAACCTGAGACTCTCTGATCCACAGGCCAATGCTCTAACCGCTGAGCCAAACTGACCAGGGTACTTTTTATATGCTTAAGTACAGTCATACTTGTAAGACTCTGAATATTCTAATTTTAGGCTTGGGAAATGTGGTTTTCATAACTTTGTCCACGTAGACCTACATCTCTTTGGGTGAGAAGAGGAACAGGTGGTCTGAAAGAGAGAAAGAAACCAGGAAGATCATCCAAATTGACTTGGCAACCAGTGGAACAGCAGATGTTGCAGACAAATGGCACCCATATTGGAGAAAAATCCAAATGATGGGGCAGGGAGACCCACATGTTATAAGAAGGGTCTTGTTAGGGAATACGTTTGGAATTACATTAGAGATTGTATTAACTCAAACTTAGTATTGGTGGTGTATTCTTTTTTAAAATATTATTCTTTTGCCACCTAAGAATTATAGACTGCCATCTGAGACCTTTATGCCCGGGAAAGGGTAGATACTGAGAAAACCGTCCTCCGTGAATTGGAAACATTGAGCTTTTGGGGAGAGTTAACATAAATCCAGCTCATGGGCATGTGTTTCCCTTCCTTTCTGCATAAAGCTAGCATTTCTCTCTCCCTGATATGTTAAACCATCTGAACACTCCATACCTTTGCAGAATTAAGCAATGATTGTTTTTAAGATGTGATGTAAACATTTGGCTTTATATCTGTGACATCTGGATCCACTTACTCATTTTAGCTGGGGGTCAGGAGTTGGTGAGTTTACCCTATAATTTAAAACATATTCAAATCAATGAAGTGTGGGTTTCCTTTATTCTTTTTGGTGTTTTGTTTTCATCTTAAACGTTTCTCTGCAAGATTGTCAACATAACATAAAATTAAAATATCAACTCAAATCTCTGAAAACATGTTTGTTTTTAAAATGACAGCTGACAATTCATTTTGTTTAGACCTCAACATTATTAAGAAAAAGACACATGTGACTGTTTTGTTTTTGAAGTTGAAATGCACGTTCTTAACTGAAATCTTTAGGTTCTATTAACTAAACCCTCTTCTTCCTATAGATTTGTATAAGTAATTCAGTATAAGCATGCACTGATGCATAACCGGGTAGGGTTTGAATTTGAGGAGCATCTATGGTTCCATAGCTGGACTGGGCTCAGTACTTTGTAAGCACACTTTGAATGACCTAAATTCCAAAATGAGTAGGGAAAATTTAAATTCTTCTGAAGATGGGCAGATTGAAAAGGATTTGGAAAATAAGTTAAATGGCTAACAATTCGATGGGATAGGATTATAGTACTAAATATATGGGATTCCTTCTGGCCATAAACCCACTCATTTGGACAGCAGATGCTGTGCTTATGGTTATACATTGCAGTTTTACTTCATTGGAAACCATGGCAGTTGGCTTCCAGGGAACAATGACCAGATATGGGCAGGAACCTCAGTTTGATGATAAATATTCACCATTGCTTGTCTGCTATAATATTTGAAATTCTTGAAATACAGATTTGTGCTTTTCATCATGGAGTCATAATGTTTTCTGTTGTTTTTTTGTTGTTGTTTTTTGCTTTTTAAAAAAGATTACAGTATACATTCAATATTATTTTGTATGAGTTTCAGGTATACAGCATAGTAGTTAGATAATCATATACTTCACAAGGTGT